AGGTTGATTTGAGGTATCCGACTAAGCTTGAAAGAGCAATAGTAGGGTACAACTTGGGAATAAATCCCTAGAACTCATTACCCAGCATATAGTCAGTCTAGAAGCCACCTTAAACTATCCAAAACTTATCCTGAGGCCTATCTTAAACATTGTTGTTAAACCTCGTAAAACCCTAAGTTGGCCTAAATAGGATGATGTGTTTATGATTCATGTTTGTTTATGATATAATGAATTATGCTTCATCGATTATGCATGAATGATGTGGTTAGATGTTATGCAAAAGTTTACAAAAATCATGACATTAGCATTTTTTCCGTTCATTCTCCAATCGTTCACTCTACAATCAATCAAGAAGGTAATTTTACCAACATTCATGCATTCACAAAAAAAAAACATCTTGCATATGCATATTCATACCATTTCGCATGATTATCATATATTCATCTCATTTATCAACATGGCGGATTTAACCATAATAAATCAAGAATTCTCTAAAATTGTTCATCCACGAGGATAAAGTCAAATCCTATGTACCAGATCCAAGGTTGTGCTCATTCTAGAAGAAATTCGATGACAGCAAAAGAAGTCAACGGTACCAGATCACAAGGAATCTATCAGAAATTTCGAAGAAGTTATTCGTTCAAACATTAATAATCCACTACCTATCTATGGAGATTAGTAGGCATACTACTAGAGAAGGCTTAATTCGAGCATCATGTAGCCCCGCACAATCAAACAAATGTCTAGATACTCTACCATATTGAAGATGTGTACAAACCTTTATATCATAATAAAGAATGATGTGTAACTCGCATTTCCACCTATTTGGAACATTGTGTGCCTACTACCAATCTTGATCTAAGACTTTGCATCAATGATTCTTTTTCAAAAATGACGAATATATCTTCCATATCTTTTAAAATCTACCTTTCTTCTGTGGAAATGGGAACCTAAAAACGTATTTCATGTTTTCAAGTTGAGCCATGAGATTTTCATATTAAGCAACCATAAGCACCCCACTGGTGCTGAGTGTTTATAAACACCGTACTGGTGTCCAGGATTTGATCCACCCACTTATATTGAGAGTAAACACATTTTGCTAGAGTTGAGAGAAAAACACCCCACTGGTGTCCACAAATTATGTGAGCTAAATAGTCAAATGGTGCAACGAGGATATGACACTAGGCTACTTGTAGAATCTTGTCACTATCCATAACCGATATAGGTCGTGTATTTCGAATTATGGCCTACAAGAAGCGTGATGCCGACATTATAATAGCCAAGTTTTGATGAAACCCTCATCGAGGCACGCATAGAATCCACATCATCTGTTGAGGCTAAAGAGAAAAATGTCTCATTAGAATCCAATGTCTACACGCATAAATCTAACCCAGGAGGAGGCATTCAAACTGACATCATGAGTATCACTTCCTCAAGAAAGGGATAGCTCGTAGCCCATACGACAAGAAAATCACTCACGTCGACAAATTTCTAACATTTTGATGCTCAAGTCAAAATGACAGCATGTATGGGGCATAACAACATTAAGTAAGTCCCACAAAAATTAAAAGGAAGAAAGAAGCCAAAATGTCAAGAAAAATCAAAACAAAGAAACAAAAAAGAAAAATTGTAGGGCTTACACATTAGATGCCCATACACGAGCGCTTGAAGCTACAATCACTCCAACTCGTCCCAAATGACTGGCTACCTTTGCGAAGAGGCAAAATAGGCGATCCCAAGTTTAATGTCGATATGGTCACAAGGGTTCAATATTGGACAAATATCTCAACCAGGATACACTCAAGCGGATCTAGCCATCAAGTTAACAAGCTTTCCAGATCAAAGAATGCTTGTCTTTCAAGCATGAGGACATAAAGCAAAGAACTCCTAATGAGAAGGGTTCATAAGATGAGAATATCAACATACGCTTAAATTACATCCCCATGATGATCCCTATTATCCAATTCTTTCTAGTAAAAGAAGAATCCCCATGATAATACGATTTGCCAATCATAACCGCCTCATAAAGGTCTTCAACATTCATCATTCCAAGAGCCAATAAGCAGTTGAAGTCTACATCACACAAACACCTCCTTTATCCATGAACCAGCTTCATACTTTGGGGGCAAGTCAGAATCCCTCAGCAGGAAACTTAGACGATGAAGGATGTGAGACTCATTTATCCATCATTCATTTGAGAAAATTCAGCTTCCCAAAACATAAATGACTCTAACGTACAAGAGTCACTTTCCAGAAAAGTTCCATAACTCACATGACGAGACCATACAGAGATTACATGGAATCTCCATGATCATCAACTTATACCTCCGACAGATTTGTCCATCAACTTGACGACAAGAATCTTGATAGTAGCCAAAGTTTCGTATACTCGAAGCACCCATAGGAATGAGTGTGAGCGAAATTGAGCATGAGAATGAAAGTGAGGGCTTGTGAATATTCTCATGGCTTGACTTCCGAAAAGAACGAATTTTTAAACAAGGTGACAATAACCACACAAGAAATCATTTTTCTCATATTGCACACAATTCCCCCAGCAAGGCTTTGATTTCAAAAGTCAAGTTCCCATTACATCCTCTTAAATGATTTTTTTTTTCAAACATTGTTTGCATTCATCTTAAGTCAAGATTGGTAAAAGTCACACTTTGTTCCAAAGAATGGAAGGCGAATAACACATTCTCGGGGGCAAGATAGTGCTACTCGGAAAGAAAGAAGAAAGTGGTTCTTCAAACCCACCAAATCATGAGTAAATGGGAAATCTCATAGATCTTGAATCATTTTTGTTCAAGATACCCTACCAATCAATCAAACTATCCGTCAACAAAGTATTTGTGTACCTCATACCTCCCGATGAGGTCAATCAAGCATGTCTAGAAAACAGACGTCAACAAGACAATACCCAGGAGATAACAAATTTGTCTAATCCAAGCACGACATGCTCACATAGCAAGAAGATCAAGCAAACTAAATGAGCACATTATCCTGTGACCAACATGCTACAAAATCCTCCCATAGAAACAGCCTACCAGGCACATCCCATGAAAAGATCATATGGCTAATACATCAGCCACCCAAGAATCAATGTCCAAGGTGGTACAAAATCCTCTTACAGAAACAACCTACCAAGCACATCCCATGAAAAAATCATATGGCTAATACATCAGCCACCCAAGAATCAATGTCCAAGGTGGAGAAAACAGAAGACCAACCTTCCATCAATCCCCATAAGCGACATACCTTGTGCTTACTGAGTATATAAAAGAGGATAAACTAGATGGCAAGCGCAGTACCTCGAGATAGTGACACACACCAACGAAATAAAGTACCCATGTCGGCAGTATGCTACCCCATCGCGAGCACAACCAAGGATCAATTTTACTAAAAGGGAATGACATATTTTCCTTGTGGATGATCGATTTAAGAGAATCCATGAAAAAAAAACATCAAGACCATGATGAGGGATCATACTCTTTCATACGCATACTCTTCAAGACATCATCATATGATTCTTCATACAATCAATCTTTCAAATGCACTTCAAACTAATCATACAACATCATTCATTAGATGGCTAATCTCATGAATTCATATCATTCTAAAAATTCACTTAAACTAGATTTCCATCAACATATCACATAATCCCATATCACATCATATAACATCTTGCATTTTCCCACCAATACGAAGCTTAGACAGCCTTTACCAAATCAAGTTTGACACATACCTAAGATCTAGCTAGACTCAACAAATTGACTGTTTCAATACCTCATATCAAGCAGACAACTTTATGCCACTCGTCATCGAGTTAAGCTTTCAAATATCCTCTTGAACTTTTTGCCATGGCACACATTATCAAACAGGCTATACTGCCACGAGACAAAGACCAAACCAGTCTATACTGCCACAAAAATTCAAATTAGACTACATCACCACAAGAATAAAAGAAACTCAAAATCAGACTATATCACACTATTTCTCTCACATATCCTCCATAACATGACATTATCATTCATTAACATTACTCATCACATGATTGTCGAAAAAAAACTCTCATACTCATTATCACCATGCATTAAAATGTCTAGCGTGCCATATCCCGGACAACCTCAGAGCATTGCGATCAATAGATGTTTAGCATGTTTAACCCCGAACAAGTTTGATTGCATTGTCTATTAAAATGTTTAGCGTTTGATATCCCGGACAACCCATGAGCTATGCCATCAATAAATGTTTAGCACGTCATACCCCGAACAGTTTGATTGCATTGTCTATTAAAATGTCTAGCGTGTCATATCCCGGACAACCCCATAAGCTATGCCATCAATAAATGTTTAGCCCGTCATATCCCGAACAATTTGATTGCATTGCAAGAAAATGTCTAGCATGTCATATCCCGGACAACCTTATCACATTACTATCAACAATTGTTCAGCCCGTCATACCCCGAACAACGTGATTGCATTTTTCATTCAATTTGTTCAGCCCGTCATATCCCGAACAACTTGATTGCTTTCTTATACCATCTTTCGATTTGTTTAACTAAAAACTTGAATGCATCGGCATACCCAAACAATCGACCCATCACTATTAGTGTCAAAATACGGTGTCTTAAAAAGAGCTTTGTATACCTCTCGATACCAAGAGATATACAAAGGGGGGCAACTGTAGACACCGCTTTTTGTCCGGGGCAAAACATATTTAATTAAATAAATGTTAGTTTTTGTTTAAAGTTAGCAATGACATATTTTAAACAAACTACTAACTGAATTCGTATTTGCAGTGTTTGAATTGGATTTTGTTTTCCATAAGCAGTGAGATTAACAATAGCAAATCTCTACGAATTAGACTTGTGTTCGATTTTGATTGTGATAGAAGTTGATCATTTGCTTGACATATGGGATTTTGAGGTTGGATCTTGATCACTAAGTAATTAAAGTCTAAAGAAAGAAATAACAATTTCATTTAAGACAATTACAATAAAGTAACTACATAATTAGAACAATTAATAATTCCAATTTTACAATTAAGCTCAAAACTGCCCAAGTCAACCCTCAACCAAATCAGTGAACAAAGTCGAACCGATCAGAGAACAGGTCTGACCAAACCCATATCGGTCCGATCCAACCCATAACCAACACTGTAGCTTACTTGTTCCCTAAGCTGCCTTGTTCTATAAAAAGAGCCCTTTGGCTCTTAGATAAGGGGGCTGGCTGGCTTCTTCTTCCTCTGGATTTTTCCTTTCCCCTTCCAAAAGCAACCAACAGAAAGAAAAAAACCTCTCATCTCTCAAGCACATAAAAATATAGAACTAAAAAGTCGGACAGCTTCTTCTTCATCGGCTGCTGAACTCTTTTCTTCTTCGTCTTCTTCCCCAGATATTCCCTTCCCTCTCTGAAAACAAAAAATACCCAGACTTCTTTCCCCTCGTCGAACTTCCTCTTCTTCTTCTTCCTTGCACTGCCTTCCTTCTTCTCTGAACCACAACAAACAGACAGTAAGAAGACAACACCAAGATTCTCTTCTCTTCTTTTTTAGCAATATACAACCCACACACACAGAAAAAGAAGCCAAAGAACTCGACAAACACATACAATGAACTCCCTCTTCCACCCCTCTCCTTTTTCTTCTTCGCCGAACCAACAACACAAAATTACAAAAGTCATAACAAAGCTAAAAAGAAGGAAGGGATCGACAAAAGCAGCAGCAAGGCCAATCCAAGGAGTTTGGAAGGAAGAGCAGAGTCATCACCAAGCAAGAAAAAGGTTGGTAATCGAAAATAATCAACCTAATAATTAATCATCATCATTCTCATTTTCACCTATACGTCCTATACTTCTACCCATATTTAAACAAGTGATTCTAAAATACAAAAACCAATTTATCCCCAAGCATGTCTCTGTCATATTCTGGCCAAAAACCAGATTTCCATTCATTTTCTGGCTTTAATAGTAGATTTGTATTATATTTACTATTTTTGGTTTATTTGCAAACGTATCATACATGACACTAGACCTTCGTGTTATCTTTGTCTTTGATTTAATTTATGCTAAAGTACCACAATCAAACTAAAATCCACTCTCTAGGCTACCAAAACAGATTCGACGAGTCAAATTAAACAAGCTATCATATCCAAATTTAGGCCAAAAGACTCGATAAAAACTAAACTTTGAGAGTGACTTTAGCATACCTCTTTTGTTTTAGAGGGCCCCCTTCTAATCTAAACCCACTTTACCAAGACCATACACACTCGTAGAGAGCATAATCTCAAACTGAAACCACCAATAAACACCAAATTCCTAATATCCAATACGCATATCACAAAAATTGTCAAGATTAAATCCACCAATCACCATAAACAAATTTCCAACCCCAACCGACATGTCAAAATACCCTAAACCTAATTGGATTTAAAACTCATTTACGATTAATCACCATTACCACAAAATTCCATATTCAAAAATCATCATGAACAACATAGATTTCCATATTTGAACCCCCTAGAATCATCACAAAAGCCAGAATTCCCCAACGGTAGAAACCTACCCTAAATTACCCCCAAATTGACATACATCAACCATAATTCCATAAACACTCCATTACTACCTATATGTTACATCCTACGTATACAGTGCCTTTTTTGTAAATTATTTCATTCTTAGTCATATTGTCTTTAATAGCTTAGAGACAGCTCTGTTTAACCATCATTTCCATATGCATAGCAACGACATCATTTTTAGCAAAAGCATATAGCAAAAATTATTAAAACCATCAAAACTTTACTAAATAAAAGGCTGTAATTAAGCTAGACAAGCAAGACTCGATTTTGTTTCAAGGGCAATCCCTCAAACTATTCAAAATCACACGTCCATCCTCAAAACACAGTTTAGCATGCGCAATAACAATTTGTTTTAAAAAAAAACTCAGATTAGTATATATTGATTTCGAATCACTAACCAAAATCAATTCTTTAGTTGAAATTTCCTTACCATCTTAAAAAAGGGGATTGGAGGGATATCACCTAGTTCTGTTCTCCCCAAACCTGCAAAAGAAAGAGCAAGTTAGAATTTGTTCAAAAGGAAAAAGCGAAAGCCAAGGAAAAATCTAATATCCATTTCACCAAAAACCCCCTTGTCCACATCGTCATCACCGTCGGCGGAACCTTAGACTGCAGACGGCGGTTCATTTTCTTCCTTTCTCTTCTCTTTCGAAAACCCCAGTAGTAATTCAAATCAAAACAACTAAAGAAATGGCCATAAACTCGTCGGAAACTAGGAAAAAACTAATTAAAAGGAGAAATCGAAACCTCACCAGAAGGGTTTCGTCGATTGCCGGCGGCGGCGTCATCTTTTGTCGTCATCGGTGCTCCCCTTTGTCCTTCGCCACTGTCGATTCCGTTTCTTTCTCCATGTCCAAGAAAACCCCAAAAAGAAAAAACAATCAGAACCCTAAAACCCCGAAAATGACATGCAATCCTATAAAGGAACCCTTACCAATCTCTGATTCCCATCCCCGATGTCATCATCGTCACCGGAGGAATTAGTAGACGTCATCGTCGCTGCAGCCGGCCTTCCTCACATCCTATTCCTTTTCAGCACCAGAAAAGAATAGAGAGCTGGAACGGGAGGATTGTGAGTCATTTTCTTTTGGGAGAGGAAGGAGGAAGTGAGCGAGAGAGAAGCTTCCTTTCTATGTATTCTGTTCTTTTTTCTTCGGGAGAAGAGAGGGTTAGGACTTAGGCGGCCGCTAGATGGAAAGAAGGAGATTACGGTTTTCATTTTACCCAATATCAGCTTGTATAAACTCACCCCTAAGGTGACTATTTCCCCTTAATATCCTCACATTAATTTACTTCCCTAAAAATTATTAATACATAATTTAGATGTGATCGACTCTTTAGTTTAGTGTTAGTCCAATTAATCCTAAACTAAAAAATATCTAATATTTTATCATGTTGAAATTACTAATTTTGTTATCTTATTATAGATATTTTTCTTTAACAAACTTAATATGAAATACCAAGTCAAATCATGGTCGATAGATCGTGATAGTCTTTTATGATGAGACTGCTCTCAAAATCGTCAAACATTCAATTACTACAATACAATATCAAAATACATTGCCTCTTGAAAACTCAATATTTACCTGTTCACATATCAATAGAAATGTGTTTAGGTTCTCTTTTTACCAAATCTTTCATTTAATCGAACTACGTGGACTTTGATCCCGATTAAATCGGGTACGTAGGCAACCAATAGGTCCGAGTCCAACTAACCAAAAAACCTCTTTCTTTAATTTTGAGATTTTACATCAATAGATGTATGCTCAAATTGTAATAACAAAATACTTAAATTAATCGAATACAATCATTCACAATAAGCTACAAATAATAATACACCCAACCTTTAAAAACTTATCGATTTAGGTAGTACCCATTTGGGACGTTGTGGAGGCGTGAATACACTTCCCCACACGTAACCGTACTCCCGAACCCGAATTTCTAAAATTTCGCAGACCAAAATCCTGATTCCGACCCTAAGGTCGAGACCGGAGCAAATGGTGTTCGATCCACCACAGCTAAGGTCGATGGCGACTCCAAGAAGTTCGCAAGCGATACCCCGGTCCGGAGGGGCGGTTGCGACAGAAGCTAGGAAGCAGCTGTGTTAATAAAAGGCAAACCAAAGAAGAAAGAGACCTTGTTGACGATCATCCTCTCAAATGCCTCAGTCCCATGCTCTTCAATGTATCTCTCGGCAGCAGTTAAGACATCATCTGGCTGACTAAATATGTTCTTCTTTCTTGGGACATACCAAATCGTGTTGTTGACAAGAGCCGCCAGCTGAGGATTCATGTAAAATGGGCGGATGAAGTTCTTGTAGACGTGCGCTGCTCCGTTGAAGTGCGGTAACACCAACCAACAGCTCACTATTAACTTTGCATATGCCCACACGGGAATGCTGTCATATTGATAGAACCTGAGATTAGGGTTCTATCGGATATTGGGATTTAGGGATTAAGAAAAGAATTAGGGTTTTGAGATTGGGGATTAGAGAAAGAAGAAGAACAGAAGACAAAATCGGCCGAAGCCTTAGAGGGCTAGAGAACGAGAATTTAGGAGATAGAGGGTTAGGGTTTTGGGAGAGATACTTTCTGAATAATTGTTCTTGCTTACTTCATAATGAAACCCAGGTTACATATTTATAGGAAAGATAGGAAAACCAAATAATAAACCTAATTCTACTAAAAGACTACTAACCTTATTGGTAAATATCCTAATAATAATAATAATGATAATTATGATAGATCACAAAAACGTGTTTCTATCACATATATATTAACTTTTCATATCAGTTTCCCAGTGAGTGTAGTAAGTTAATTATACTGATGACATCATATATATATATATATATATATATATATATATATTGTGCTCCAATGGGTTACCTTTCGAGGATCTTGGCAAAGGTGAGCTCGAAGAGTGTGATCATAGAATAAAGGACCCAGTATGTGAGCCATTGTTGGTCATCGCTGCGAGATTTGGTCTCTATGGCCCTAATCGAAGCATACATGCATTAATTAATTCCCAGCAACTGAATGACCACCATGTACAAATTTCACAACAATTATATTATGAGGCAATGGGGGAAAAGAAACTTACAGTGGATAAAGGAGGGTGACCAGAGGTCTGCAGCAATATTAATGGCCAGTTGAAACATGAAGACATATGAGGCAAAAAACGTCAGAAATTAGCCTAAAAGATTGGAGGAGAAGAAGAAGAGAGCGATGAATGAGGCATTACAAAGCGAGAATGTCCAAATTCTTAGCCACGACTTGCACAAAGTTTCCTGAGCCACCAGCCATGAAAATTGATGTTGTTGATGAACTATTCTTGTCTTGGACTGGGCTAGCTTCGATCACTACTTTGCTTTTCAACCGCGTCTATGAGTCCAGTTCCTTTTTAAAAGGGGGACTAGAAACGGGGAAAGTTGGATGGAAAGGTCAAAAAGATGGGCGGAATTTTGGGGTTTAAAGAGAACCGATTTCACTTCTCCTTTGTACGACCCTTTTCATTTTGCACGAGAAAAGAGACACCGATTTTAGTTGGTTCTAGCTAGGGTGCTTAGGATTCTAGGATTTTTATGGAGCTCAAGGCTAAGTTTACCTATTCTTTTGAAGTTCGAAATTGATAAGAAATGAAGGCATGCATGAAAGAAACTAATAAATATTTTATGTGGTTGGACTCATATAACTTAGGGACGTCTCTCAGATATAGTCGTATTATTTTTTAAATTTTTCGGTATATACTTTACCATGTTATATATATGTACCTGTTAACAGAAATCCTAACTAATTAATACAAGTATTACTGCCGCCTGCACAAGATTTTGACAAATAAGTAATAACTAAAGGCTGTCAATACTTAAACAAATAATTAAGGGCTGGTCTAATGGTAATACTAATACTACTATATTAGTAGATTTGAATTTTACAATCTTATGTTCGAAATCCTTCAATAGCACCTAACTATAAATAAACATACATCACCCTTATAAAGAAAAGTAAGGTTAATAGCATTTTATACCCATGTACTATTGCAAGTTAACAAACATACCGTTCAACTTTATATTCCAAAACTTTGAAACCCAAACTATGCTCCGATATCTAGATGCTCCTTTGGTGATAGGCTTCTTCCGGACGACAGCGGTAGGGGTTCACTAGAGAGAGTAGGAGCGGAGGAAGCCACCGATCCACTCGCCGACCTTCAAGCTGCGGGAGAGTTTTTATGAAATTGGAAGAGGAGATGATGATATTGGCCGGTTTTGTTGTTAGATCTAAAACGGTAAGTCCGAAAAAGGAATTGAATTGAGCAGCTAAGTCATCTCCATTTTGTCGGTCGAGATTTGGCTTTTTTAGGGTTTTGATTGAAAAGTGGCGCAGGAAGAGGTTGTAGTTCTGTTTCTGGTTTTACTGCCGTCACATGGAGGTTTCTACAGGAGAGAAGGCGGAGGTAGAGGGCGATGGGATTTAACTAATTCGGCAGTGATTTCGAGTTTCCGACGGGATAACTGGGATGTGACAGCCGCCGGAGTCTCAATCTGATTCAATCGAGAATAGGGATGGCAATCAAACCCATGATCATGGGTACCCGGCTGCCTCTGAACCAGGGTATGGGGCGGGTATGGGTAAAATCTGCAAAAAGTTCGATGGGTTCATATGTGGCTGGTATGGTTTTAGGATCATATTTTTTGAATCGTATTAAGAAAATGAACATGTTTTATTGATGACTTCATGATATATAGATTCATCTAGTGTAATAATTAAAATTATCTTCTAAGTTTTTAGTTATAATTAAGTTGGATGTACGGGGATGGGTATTACCCATGTGTACCCAAAACCCAAGGGTTTGTGGAATGGGTTTGCAAAATATTCTCCCCGTATGGGTATGGGGGGCGAGTATGGGTTTGAAGATTTGAAAATGGGTGTGGATGGTTTAGGAAACCCTCCCCAAACCCACCTCATTGCCATCCCTAATCGAGAAGACGTCGGGTGGTTCCTCGTATTCCACTAACGAGAAGGGAAGATAATGAATTTAACAATCTAAATTTTATTTATTTAATTTTCCTTTTAGCTGGAAATTAGTTGTACACATATTGTTAGTAGAGGGTAATATAGTCCTTTATAAGCCTTTTAAAAGTCAACTAACAAAAATATGGATGGGAGGCTATATTTGTTACATTGCAATAATAGAAATGTACGTTTGTGCAAAAAATTAGTAGAAATGTATGTTTGTTAACTTGCAATAGTACAAGTGTATAAAATGCTATTATAATGAATGATGTTTGCACAATATCAAGTTGTGAGTAAAAATCAATGTGTAACACCCTAGCCTCGGCCGAGCACTACTTTTACTAAAATGCCCTTGATAAATAAAATACTCAAATCTTAAATTGCAGCGGGAAAAATTTTCATAAATAAAAATACTGAAAACACACCCTTGTAGTTTAAAGCAACGCCCGAACACATGGGCAAGCATACTTAATACTTAAAATCTCAAAATGACCTCAAGTCTATACTCATAATCATAAATGTAAAAAACTAATAATCTCTAATGTTGTTGCTACTGAAAACCTTGACTAAGCATCCTCAGTGACGCTTATACTGCCCTCCTTTAGCTGGCTGCCCTCGAACTCGCTGCTCACTAACTACTCCTCTAGCTCCTCCTCTAGCTCTTCAAAATGGTGAGTGAGATGGTGTTAGTCTACGCCCTTACGTTTAACATCTTATTAAATATTTGATCACTTTACATAACTTAGTGGAGGTTGTTTTGTACTTCCACTATTAAAAATCTTAACTCTTAAAATTGCAATCTTAAAGCTCAAATCTCCACTTAAATTCTTGACTGACACGGGGATGCCATCACTCTCTAGTCTGATTGCCCAACTCATAAGTATGAGAAGCCATCACGGATTTCTTTAAACTTAAACTTATCGTGGAAGACTCTTCTTCCACGATTCTCAAGAGCATAACTGCTGCTCATCTTAAAAATCTCAATAGCATAACTGCTGCTCAACTTAAATATCTCAAGAGCATAACTGCTGCTCTATCTGAAAATCTCAAATGGCAACGGACTGGCGCTAATGACTAAAAACACTTAAAACTATTTCACATTCTTGAAGGTGAAGAACTTCTTAAAACTGTTTCTCAAACTTAAACTTACTTGTAAGTAAAGCGCACAACAACATAAAACTAAAAGCATAACTCACACAAATCATATGACATCATATAAGCATACAAAGGCAAGTACTGCACATAGCAATCAATCTCAAAACTGAAATACCATAAGGCGTATAATTTACCCTCTTTACAAATCACCTTACTACTAAAGTCTATCAGCTTGAATTGAATCAGTAAGTAGTTGTGCTTCCTCACATGATAATGCCCTGATATTTCAGTTTGCCCATCATGTTTGAACGAATACAAAACCCCTTGAATGACTACCAAACCCCTTGAACGACTACAAATCCCCATCATATCCCATGCCCAAATCTCAGCTACGTTCAGCCTCTTCTTTCCACCTGCATGACATAGCCTTAAACAAATCGAGCGTACCATGCCAACCACCCAATCCCGTTACTAAGTTTAGTTAGTCCTTTGTTACTGATTCATTAGATATGTCCACCAACCGCTTACCTTGCTCAAATCGCTGTGTCTCGGGAAATAATTTCCTTCTTCAAGAAAACGAGCCTCTAGTGCCAAATATGTGAGTCCACGTTGCTTTCACCAAAGATATCACTAGGTAACAGCAACCGCTGCCGCCTTGGTTCATTCCTCTCGTGTGCGAGTGGCCGTTGGCGTCGGGCACTCCACAAAGCTACCGATGAGGCTACAGCTCCTCTCCTCTGCCCGTCCATTCACAAAAGACGACCATGATCGGATCACTCCTCCGCTTGAGGCTTCCATCGAGCGCGTCAATCAACCGCCACCGATAAGAAACTGCCATCTTGCCGACTCCAAGGCGCTCTCAAGTGATGCCTCCAATCAAGTCCCAATAATGCACGGGCTTTATTCTAATTCTTGGAAACATCCCTATTCCAATATGAGCAATGCATGTCCATTTGTCACCCATCCAATTCTAGTTCTTTTACCCACGTACATGCATGATTAGGCTTTGTTGACCATAATAATCAACACCATGTATGAGTTAGAAGAGGGAGATCCTTACCCCTTTATTTGGGTCGACACTATTGGGAATGAATAGCTTTGAAAACTATATTAAATTAATTATCCAGTATTTTTCTATATACGAAAAAAGAAGTAATTAATAAAAAGAATATTATGGAGATAATTAAAATTAATTATCTTAATATAATATATTTTAATTATGGGAGTAATTATCTCCCTAATTAAAATGTGACTTATTCCCAAAGATAGAGGGATTATTCTGGGTTTTCTGCTCCTATAAATAGAAGACACTCCAGACCCTCTAAACACACTTTAGAGAGCAGAAACACGAGAGAGAGTGAGATTCAATGAGCTCCGGTTTTCTGCACAAAACCGCTGAGTAAATCAAAAGAGTGGTTGTTTTATCCTGGAGGCGACCGACTGATAGTCTGTTGTGCGAATAACGAGGTAGTGCTACGAACGTCTTAAAGAGAGCGACCTAATCAGCGACTCAGCCAGATCGGTAACCCTAAATTTTCTGTTCGGTTTCTAAAAGACACTTCCCGGCGGTGACTACTTCGAAAAGCTCTTTTTCCTCGTTACACCGACCGATCGATTTCCTTCCCTTTGGCCGAGAGAAGTCGAGAGAGTGGCTGCCGCTTGCTTTGCTGGAGAAGGAGTGGCCAACTACTGCCTTGCGCGATGGTGGTGCGAGGTCTAGATGGGAACTAGGAGGTGGCGGTGGTTGTGATTGTTCACTGGTACTAGGGAAAATGAAAGGGAGCTAGCTGCTCTTGTATAGGATTAGGTTTAGTGATTTATATATATATATATATATATATATATGAGTCCTCATCGATATTACTTTCCTAATTCGACAATTTTATTGAGGGCATAATGGTCATTTGGCTTAATAAAAGGGATTGGGTTAAAAAAATATTTGTTTCTATTTTATTCTTGCCATGCACTATGTTTTTTACACTTTTAAAAAACACTTCAAAAAAGTCTAAATTAAAATTTTAATGGCATCTTGTTCAGTGTATATAACTGGGTTAATAACAATAGATATCATGATACATCTTGCAACCTATCATATACTTCGTCTATTTGGAAACTAAGACTTTCAAATTTAAAACCTATGACAAGTTAATCTCACTTTTACTTTTCAGGTTTTGATAATATCATATACTTTTCAAAAT